GAGACAGTGTCAAATGCTTTACTGAAATCCTCAGGTTTTCATATAAACTCCATGACTGCAAAAAATTCACAAGGTGCACCTAGGGCATAGAGGTACCAGTGTATTCCCGAAGCGTGTACATGCCATATTTGTAAGCAAGACTTGTAACAAGCAAAAGCAGCTTTACCTGGTATAATTCACTTTATACCCTGCAATATCATCATTGGGTGATCTTAGTCTTCGCTGAGAAGGTGTCTCCAAGTGCCAGTAGTTAATGCGGTTCAGAAACATTTTAGCCAGTTCCACTATCGTTTGCCTTTCCTTGGAGGGTAAGTGGCTAAATTTGTACTGCACAAAATTATTCACACCCTTAAAACAGAAGAAAAACATGTTTAATTATTTAGCCATAATTTTTGCAGGAGTGTCTTTGAACTTTATGTTTATTAACCATGAACTTGCATTACATGGGAAAGAAAACAAATACCCGAGATCACGAACTCATTGCTTAGCTACTCATGTAGCTGCCACAAGCTGGTTCGCCTCTACACAGCAGCAGGCACCTCCAGATGTTCTTATTCTATGCAACTCCAGCAGCTGACTTAAAGGGAGAGAGTGAAAATTCTTTACTTTTCCTTGCTTTTCAAAGTAAAAAACTTTGACAGGGAGTAGAGAAAGGTCCAAGGGGCTTTCTTCTATATGCTCGTATACGTACAATTTTGCTGATAACCTTGTTGCATGATTTGTTTCCTCTGTAATCAGGTATCACCAAAAAAACTCTCCAGCCACTTTTCAGTAGTAGTCTAGGGCTTGGGGACTTCTAGTTAAGTTTGTGTCTGCACATCATATTATTTCTTCAAGAAGTGACAGTATTTCGCAACTATGTCACTTCATTGCTCTTTGTACGCTGTCTACTTAAAAAAAAAAAAAGCTACTGAAGATAGTTAAAATGTGTGACTAAAAGTGCTGCAATACATATATATTATAAATCAACTATGCTACTGCCGCTTAGCAAATAATTTTGTGTGACTGAGCTGCTGTACTGCTAAAAAACAGAGTTGAAAATATTCATCTATTTTAAGGGAAAATTACTTCAGAATAAACTGCAAAAGGAATTACTCTTTCATCTCTATGCTTTACTTCCTTAAGCAAATTGAACAAAATGAAGAACATGACAAAAAATTACATTGTACAAAACCTGCTTAGTAGTATATTTTAAGGACTAGAAGAGTAAGGGGATTACATACACTTATTCTTTGTTTATACTCAAACTAAAGGAGAACTTAAGGTGAAGACTTTCCAGAAATTCAGCAATAAAGTGTTTTGATTTTCCTAAATTACAAGAAGTGAGAGTTGCAAGGAAATAATTACTACACATAACAGTCTTCACATTCAAAATATCCTCTTTAACCATTCATACACCGACGGGAAAACACTGAGCTCCTGTTTCAGTGAGGTGTGTGAGCTACTGCATAGTCTCGCTGGAGCTAATGGGACCACCGGTGTGCCGAGAGTGCATTCTCAGGAGATTGCTTAATCAAAATCTGAATTTATCATATGTTCTTTATCCTTTGAGAGTTACAAAAGCCTCAGTTATTCTTTGCTTTCAGCTTTGGTTTCTGTTGTGTGCCCTTTGAAAGAAAAGGCTATGATCTCACTGAATTGGACTGTAATATTTTCACTGATTTACAGAAGACAAGTGTCATTTTAATATTGGATTTCAAAACTTCAACAGCATTTTTCACTTGAAACAAAGATTAGAACTGACAACATAAAAGTGGTATTTGAACTGCATTCTCTAAACCACAAAAAAGTCTATTTCATTAAAGCATAAGATGAATGATGAGAGAAATCATATAATGCAACTATTGTATCAACACTAAAGGAAAAGCAGCAACAGAAGTCTCCTACAGTCCCCTCCTCTGTCATCAGTAATACACAGAAACACCTGCAAACTGCCTAAAACGTCACGTTTTCAAAACCAGTGCCCACGTTTAAAAACAAACAAACAAACAAACAAACAAAACCCAAAAAAACCCAACAAATCAAAAAACCACACCAACCAAACGCATGTGTTGGTTGTTTACCTGTTCAATGCTAGGTTTCTCAAACGGAGGACTTTCCAAAGATCCTTCTACTACAGGTTTTCCCATTTGTAAAATGCACTTCCTCAAAAGCTGTTAAAAATAGACAATTTTTTTTTTTAATTAGTATATTTGCATACATAGGGTCAATGGAAGTCACAGGTGCACAACACACTGCAAGCAGTGTTGAAAATCTCCGGGTTCTATATCTGCTTGTTTAGTCATCTAAATTTATAGCTACTAAACTTCCGTGAATTCACCTTCCTTGAAGTGCATGTAAGAGGCTTCTCTGAGCAAATGTAGGCAGCTAAGTTAGCATTTCTGTCAACTGACTTTCCCTCATGTGTAAGTGAAGAGGATACAGCTTGCAGGCTACGTAGTTTATAGATGGGACTCAGGGTCAGCTCCTGATTCATATGGACGACTTTTGGAGTAAGATGTAGTACACTGAAAATACCACAGTGTCTAGCCCATGGTTAGCCACTAAAGCATAACACTAGAAAAAAAAAAAAGTCTCACCAGATAGAGTCAATACATGCATGAGGGGCAATGAAACTGGCTTATGTGTGGGAAAGTGAGAAACCTGAGAAGGTACTACACAAGTTCAGCTTACTTTGAACAGGTAGAAATAAACTTGCTTGGTGTCTGCATCTTCTTCTTTGTGGACACAGGTGAACAGGTACTCCACATCCAATACAATCCCCAGGAGCCTATTCATTTCTTCTTCAGACACATTCTCCAGGTGAGAAACATGAGCAGCTAAATGAAATAAGAATCCAGAACTGTACAAAGCCTACTGAAAGAATCAATAGCACAAGTATTCCCAGGATATTTCAAACTAAGCCCCAATGGTGAAGGCACTGATCCTTTAATAGCCTATTTAAACAGAACGTCTTATCAGAGCTAACTGAAATATGTGTCACATTGGAGTAATTTGCAGAGATAGCCAAGCAGTGGTAAATCCCACAGCAGAGGAATGACAGCTGGTTGGAATCACAGCACCTATTAACACTTAAAACAGACCACAAAAGTTCTGTCTGTATTAATATATTACAATATATAAATAAACACAGACATTTTTGTCCAAGAGCTGTGCTTTTGGGACAAGCTTTCGTGACTGAAGAAAATAAATCCACAATTCCCATAAATCAGGTAATCCACGTGTTGATGCAAGTAGCACCTAGTTCCGTGAAGATTTTAAAAAATCATCTCCATAAATAGGCTTTTTGTTTTAAACTGGACATAATCGGCTAAGTCTATTCCTTTCAAATCACATAAGGTCAAACTATGCTTTGCGAACATGACATTAACAAAGCTTTGGAGATGCTCACTTGATCAGAATTTTACAAGAAAAGCATTTTTCAACGTACCAATTTCCAAGTGACAAACTCCCTTTTATCATCTCCAAAGGTAAATACAGTTCCACATTTGTAATTTTCAAATGCTTCAGGTTTGTAAGTACGAAGTAGGAAGTTCATTTCAAGTTGGTTTGAAAAACTGGCCCCAGGAAGAGAGAAGTCCATTTAAAACAAAAAGTCAATTCCCAGAAGGAAGATACTTGCATTACAAAAAGTAACTATCTTTGCCGATTTCAGGCAAATGTACATGGCATGCTTATCCTTTCCTCTGAAAGGACAAGAAAACATCCTCTACAAGAAAAGGAAAATTATTTTAAAAGTTGTGCATATTATTTGTATATATTTTTATAACTTTTATCAATATTTACTTCTTATGTAATTATTATATTATTTTAGATATGCCAATGTGATTGGGACTGGTGAGAAATTTTCAGCATAAATCTGAATCCTTAAGGGGAGAGGAGCTGGGGAGAAATAACACTTGACTTGAAAATGATCATATTTATTGGCCACCCAGCAAAGATGGTTTGTTTTGGAAAGTTTCGTGTGACACCTGCCAAAACATTTAAATTCAAATAAATTTGTGCAGCTTCAAGTAAACAGGACACCATTGCTCAGAAAGTTAAAAAGATGCCAGCAATCATTTCCACTTAAGACATTATATTCTAAACGTTCACTTGTTTTGAGTATATGCTCAGAACTGAACGGGGTATGGCCATCATGGGCTTTCTTTAAGAACAAATATTCAGCATTCTGGGCAGAATGAAACTATTTCACTTTTGTCCTTGAGCCAGATATGAAGGTTTCATATTCCCAACCGTCTGTTCTGATCTTGTAAAAGTAATAAATTCCCTCCTAGATGAGCACTGCATTAGGAATCGATAACATACTAAAGAAACCTTGCACTCAACTAACAAATTAATAAAACATCAGCATAAGAAGCCATTTCCACACAGTGTTCATAGCAATACTGACAGTTACCTTGACTACCTAGTGGCCGTACTTAAAACATTTTATTAGAGAATTATTACCTATACTGTGAATCTAAAAGTAACATAAACGTATTATTATCAGCATGTATTTACTACCAGTTGCCATTTACTGTTGAGTCGTCACCTACATCTGTACATCAGCCCAACAAACTACGCTTCTTCAGATGTTCACAGCCCATCCCCAAATTCTTGTGGGAATTCATTAGTAAACCTTTTATTAAAATCAAAGCTGTAGTACACTGGCATCACATACTGTGTTATTCTTGACAGTCGCATTCATCTGCCTGGTACCTCCTTCCTCAGCTGCTGATATACTTGTAAAAAAATAATAAATTTAAAAAAATGACAAGTATTGCCTGCTACAGCATACAGAAGAAAGCAAGCAGAAAGCACAAGGCCAAGGCTCTGTGAGGACCTGAAAAACAGCCAGTTAATTATTTTAGTTGTAAAACTTCAATAGGCAAGTACTTGAGTGTATGAATTAGAAGCAGTCAGAAAACAGACTAAGGAGGAATGCATCCACAGACTACCTCAAAATCAGCGCGTACATAAAAACACTAGTAGTGTATCTAGGACAGGCAAACCAAGAAATACCCAAATACACTGGGTGAAGGCGCATAGCAGGAATCAAACACAGTACTGGGAAAAAAAAAAGAGATGAGTGTGTATGCAGTGTACTAACATATTAACTAACCAGTTTTGAAAGTGACTCAAGACTGAAAATGTTTACCAACAGGAAAATGCACCCTGTAACACAGGAGAAACCAACCAAATATAAAAGAGAAAAAAGCCTCTGTCTACACAACACCTGGTCTTGAGGCTGGTGGAAAGTGAATTCTCCCAGGGCACAATTCAGTCGCCACTTCACAGTGTTATGGTAGTAACCCAATAAAAGAAATAATCATTAAAAACCCAGTACAGAGCCAAGTTGTGGGGTTGAGCGACAAACAGAAGAATACAAGTTGTAGATAAGTTGACAACACAGGAAAAGAATACAAAAAACACTACAAGTTGTAGGTAAGTAGACAGAAATAACCTTGATAAGCTAATACACACTGCCAAAGAGATTTATGCACCAAAAACTGAAGATCAAACCATACCCCGAAAAAGAGATGTCTGAAACAAGACTAATGTCTAGGATTACCTTTGGAAGAAAATCATACATAAAAAAGGCAAACACCCCAAACACCCTACATGTTACACCAAGTATGGCTTTCACCAGTACAGGAATGCTATTTCAACAGCTCTCCGAGGAAGAGAAAACACAGCACAGATGACAACCTGAAGCCTGCACACCTTGCGGTCAGTCTGGTTTTACAGCCATTCAGCATGAACACACTAATTTAGAGAAGATGAACAGGAAAAATATCTTGGAAAATACCGCTGAAAGACATATTTTGCTTTCCTTATTGTATGTTGAAGCAGACAGCAACTCATTTCAGTTATTTCAAACGAAACATCATCCTCATTAGCTGCAGCCAGAAAAATAAGAAACTCTACCTTTTCTAAAAAGAGTAATAAATAAAAATACAGTTTGTTCCATAAGGTACAATTTCACTGGTACTAGCTTTACAGTTCTGGTTTTCCCTGGTTCCCTGGCTAATGAGCAATACAAGGTTTTTTTAATAGACCAAAAACAGTTTGAGCCTGTAGAAGACCTGAGTTTTTCTACAAAATACATAGCTATCCACAAATTCCGCTGAGGAACAGGGAACTGACAAACACAACATCTCATAAGATTAAAAAAAAAAAACCAAAAACAAAACCAACAACAACAACAAAAAACCCACAACACACAACAAGCAACTCTTCCTTCCAAGGCCAGGAACGAAAGGGAAGGGTAACACAAGCTACCCTGACTGCAAAACCAAAAGCAGCACAGAGAAGCTTCGTAATGAAAGGCTGAAACTTATTGGGCTAAAGTGATCAAACTTTCTGTGATACTATGCATTTGTTAATCTTCTCCTGCAAGCAAATCCAGAGATTTGGGATATCAAGAAGGCAAAGAAATCTGCTGAAAAGCCCAGAAATAGATCAAATGTAATGAAAGAATAAAAAGAAAAGAGAGCAGAAATAAAAATAAATCCCAATTAAAAAAAAAAAAAGTGTTCCACACAAAGTACAATATTATTTTCAAAAGTTAAAGAAATATAAATTATCCATTGTGAAGGTTTTAGATTTCCTTTTTCTTATTTCACTGTCCTAAGTTTTGGACAACTGCTTCTTTTCAATTAGATCTGAATTTCATTTTAGCTCAATATTTATTCAATAGTTGCTAATGTACACAGAAAAAGCCATCAGCTTTTCTTTTGGACAAGCATAAATTCTTAAAAAAATAATACAGTGATTCACCACTCTTTTTCAGGCTATGTGGGCAACAAATCACTATGTATTATTCGTGCAAAAAAAAAAAAAAAAAAACAAAGTCCCACAACAGTATTTAACAGTGGATTTTGAACAGTTACTTCCAAGATACGCAAGCTGTCCGCACAATAACTTAGAGAATGCTAAGATGTACAACCCTAGTATTTTCTGTGACACAGAAAAAGCACAGTTCTTTTTGTAGGAAAAGGGTCCCTGCTTCAGCATTGTTCAATAATATTTTATAGTTTCTTCTGCAGTAAGAAAACATAACACAGCCTACAGGAGAGAGTCATTCACGTTGTAACGAAGGCAGCTGACAGATTAAACAATGTGAGGTTAATGCATACGTTACACAAAGTATTTAAATTATTATGGGTAGCCTAAAAGTGCTTTTGCATTTTAACAATTTAAGATGTCTGGGTTGTTAGAAGTTGTACCTTAGTTCAATTTCTTCAAAACTCATTTTAGGATATTTCCAACATATTTTAACCTAGGTTAACTGACATTTATATCCAATCGTGACCCCCATTTCTAGGTCTTGGCACAGCATTTTGGCTTTCGTCTCGTGAGAGTGCAGACTTGCAGGTATAGGCAGGTGGATTGCAGGAGAAGGGCAGAAGCTTACCCAGCGCGTGGCTGCAGCTGCGGCAGGGCTCGGCGAGGCTCACGGCCGCCTGCTGCAGCTCGGCCCGGGGGGGCGTGGGAGGCGGGTTGGGGTTCTTCCAGCCATTGCATTTACAGGATTCCTCAGCCTGAAATCAAAGCAAAGGGGTACATATCAACAGCATAAAAAAAGCAAGGAACTTGCTGAAACTCCGTTATTTCAAAAGCAAGAAAAAGTAACATTATTAATTTCAAGTTGTTTTTTTTTGTTTTGTTTTGACGCTTTGGGGGAGATTTTTGGGGTGTTTTTTTTGTTGTTTTCTTTGGTTTGGTTTTTTTTATCTACCACACAGCTAGACCTTCTTTTCAAGAAATAAACAGAAACAGAATAGCAACCCAAATAGAGAAATTAACATGGTTCCAGTAAGCATACTGTGCTCAGAAAAATATATCCACAAACTGTGGCTAATTCCTTTACAGAAAGCCCTCACTCTTGCTGCTATATGAAAGAAGTATTCAAACACTTACTGGTATATCAACACACAGATCCCGCCACCAAGACAGTTTTAATGACTGCAACACAAGCAGGTTATCTAACAGGCAACACATTTATCGCCGCCTCACCAGCTATACCATTAACAAAGAATCATGCAACTAAAAACAAGCCCGCGAGAACCCAAGCAGGGTTAACTAAATACTGAAATAAGCAAACAGTAACTGCATTATTGGCGAATGCTGTCTAAAGCAAGGCTTACCCACAAAAGCAACGGATGCCAAAGACAGTGATGCTACCAATGAAACCTGCTGCTTACCCTGGAAAGTTTATTTACACTCAGTGACTGCGAAACATCACCAACAGACTCCAGCTAAAAGGGGTGACCATGAAGGGAGAAGTTGTGACTTGGGTAATCGTGTTTCAAATCACTCAGAAGTTCAAAGACCCGATTTTAGTTACCCAAAGAGCAGCTTTATAGCAGGGGATTTTCTGACACGTATCCAAAAGGTATTAGTTATTTTGATGGTAAATTTCTTCTAACAGCATTCATCTACCTATGTGAAGATCTCATCGGAAAAAAAGTGTGCATTTCTACTGCTCAGAGATATCTATGCACTGGGCTGTAACAAGATACTCATGAATTTGCAGTGCCAAGACCTCAGTCAGGAAAGTATGCCAACCGCTGCATAATATTTATGACTGAAACAACCTTAGTAGAAAAAAATGTGATGTTAATATATCCACCATTAATGTGTCATTTTTCAAAACCAATTCTGAATATATTTAAAGTAATCTATTTCAGGAACCTATTTCATTTTGCTTTTATGTTTCCAAATCCCACCTTAACCTAAGGAAGAAGCACCCAGGAAAAGCAGAGAGGATCACAGCTTGACAGCTCCTAAGACTGACAGCTTTGTAGATTGAGGGTAATTTGTTCTTCCAATCTAATTTCAATATTCAGCAACCTGAGCACCAAGAAAACCACTGCCTGCAGTTTGCTGAGCACCACATGATGTTTTTACCATCTCTAACGCTGAAGTCTGGGCTCCTGGCCCCGGGTCCCATGGTGTCAGGCTGTGCTGGGGCAGTCTGGCTGTTACAGAGGGGTGTGAGTGGCGTTTTCAGCAGCTGGAGCCATCAAGATGACTCAGAAATCCACCAATAAGTACCCAGCAAAACCACTTCCACATACTTGCCTTGGAAAGGGGACAACGTGCGCTGGCTGACCCCCCGGCTGACCAAACTCACTGCGTGGGTGCGGGCGGCCTCCCCCCCCTTGTATTTATCATGTGGCATCCTGGAGGTTGCAGTACGATATGTGGGGAAGATTAAAACAATTTTTTTTTTAAGTCTTATAAAACGCCATCTGGATGGATTGATGGTGAATTTTATGTTATTTTTCTAGTATGTTTTCTATGAGTAATGTGACTGGCAGAGAAGTGAAGAAGGCCCGATGTTACTTTCCAGCAGAAACCATCTCTTACAGTTTCACAGGCACGGAGACAGTTTTACTTTGGTTTGTTATCCAGTCCTATGGGGACCTCTTCAACTTTAATGACTAGAAAGCGAGATCAGCGGTTGAGGGACACCTGTCAACCAAGAGCTGCCTTAGTGTGGGGGGCTTTGGACATCTGTGAGATGATGGGAAAGCACACTTCCAATTAGGGGCTCAAGCTACACAAAACCAGTGCCAAATAAGCCACCCACATCTGCTCTGTGGGAGAGGCAACATTGCCATCAGAGCTTTGGCAGTTAAGACAAGGATACAGAAACTGTCACAGAAAAACCTGTCAGAGAATGCCAAAGAAAATTCAAGAGACATTCATCAAGAAGTTCTCAAACAAAAATTGATTCAATATTATTTTAGGAAAGCAAGATTTGATCCTTCCCACGCAGCTGTCCGGACAAATGTTCAACACTGTAAATTACTGACATAATATCATGCTTACTATTAATTGCCTTAAATCATACCACAACGAAACATGTCCAAGAAAACCCTCTCAAACCAGGCACAAGTTTTTGATTCATTTTTCCTCCAAGTGGAAGCAGTATTTCACAGAAGCTCACCACACAATGTTTACTATCAAGCCTAGAAACTATAAACAGGGAGTAACTACACAAACTTTAGTGTCACACAATAATTAACAGCAAAGATGCAAACAAACAGATGTACAAATCATGATAACAGCTCAGTTAAACTGCCAAAAATAAATATCAACCCACCCACATAAGAATAAAAGCAGCATGTTCAACAGCAGATTTCTTCTGCCCTCGGTAGTATTTCCTCACCATATCTTTTTGAAGCAGCTGTTCATTTGTATTGTCCAAATTATTCTAGAGACCTTTCCCAAACAACTACTAGGGTGGGGTTTTTTTAGTTAATCTCTCCATAAAACACCAGAATCAGCATAAATGTTCTGTTAACCAAGGGGAAACACAACCCGAAAAGGACCTCTTTGAAACTAAGCTTTCTTTGTGGACATTGACAGTGCAAGTATTTGGCAGTGAATACACAATGTGCATTCCTCGGTGGCTTAAATTGCTGAGTTGTTTTCAGTCTTCCACAGCATTCTGTTCATTCAGTCCTTTCTTTGACGATCTTCAGCTTCTTCCTTTCTTTTTTTTTTTTTTTTAATGTCACTCATCTGCTTTTCATTAGAAAATAAAGTATGACTTCACCTCCGCAAAAACTTAATTTAAGATCAAAACAGTTTTGAGAGGAGGAAGGAGAAGAAGTGTTTAAACTAGTACATCCAGTCCTTGGAGCCTTATTTTCTGGGACATCTGCAGAGCTTTGATAAAGCCACTGGAGGAAGCTGGGGACTTCTGCCTTACTGAAGCCTGCAAAGTAATGACTCTCATCTTTACAGGCCCAGGGATCACGAACACTGCATCTTCATTGGCAGTTTTTAATACAATATGTATAATAAAACATAACAATTATACACTGTTGTGTGCCTCTGCCCCCCCCCCCAAAAAAAACGGTGCAGAAATTATTTACGTTTTGCACTGTACAATATAATTTCAATTATTTTTTGACCCCTTCCATGTTAATTGCAGCATTACAGTGTGGGAAATCAAACTAACTGGTAGCTCTAGGCAGTGAAAACGGCAACTCTGGACAAACTGAAATTACCGTTTCCTTTAAAATACTGAATAGACTGATAGCAGGTCAGAAATGGACACTGAAAAAATACAGTACATTTTAACACAAATTTCTAGGATTTTTAATTAAAAATAAAGCACCTGAAAGTTACAACATTGCACATCTCAGCACCTTCCAAGGGGGTTTCAAGTGTCTAAATAATAATAAAGAAATGAAGAACACCACGGTAACTTAGGGACTAAAACGTTACTCCCCTTTTCGGATAGTGAAATGAGCATAGGAACATGCAAACTTCAAGCTAACTTAAATACAAAGTGAAAGACCTCAACAGCCTTAAAACTGAGCTTCAAACCAGCTGTTGTGCTGGGCTGTCTTTCCAACTCAAAATCATACAGGGTGCCCTGTCAGCTAACTGAGATGCAAAGCAGCCTCAACAGATTAAAGCAGTAGATGTGGTCTATCTTGA